GAAACAATGATCAACATTATGAATTAGCAGTTACTACTATCAATTGATTGTTGAATGTTTTTATGGTTAAAGTTTTAACCAACTTTATACAAAATTTTCTTAAAAGAAAATATATAACACACTAAACGGTAAAAATTATTTTGTGTTATGGTGTTTGAATTTAAATTAATACTTTTAAAACAAATTACCATATGTCATAAATGAAATTTACTTGTAGAGATATAATTTTTATTTTGTAGTAACTAATTTCAGAACTTTTGTTAAATAGCAATTTGATTAAATTAATTTTAAATTTTAAAGGTTGCAAAAAATTATGATGAGATTTAATGGAAATAGCCAAACATATATAAAAGCTGGATTATTTTCAAAATTTTATTTTCACACAAATCACCAAAACCAGAAATGAACAAGAAATTTAATAAATTTCTTGTTCATTTCATTCCAGCCTCAAAAAAATCCAAGGCCTTTAAATAGAAACTTCCAAGGGTTTAATCAATGAAGTATGGTATGTCTAAATTTCAGTATATGGTAATCCAAACATAGAGTATTGAATATTTTTAAAATTCTTCTAAAATATAGCTATTATAATTATATTCTAGTTAGCAAATAATTTTATACTTAATAAACCACAGAACTACTACTCAAACCTTTAAAAATTCAGTAAATTTTAATTTTCAAATGTTGTTGGTTAAAATTTTACTGCATTTTTAAAGGTTTGAATAGTAGTACTTATCATGAACCACAGTTCATGATAAGTATAGTTTTCAGAAAAGTGTGTTCATACTTGATGATAATATTGCAGTTGTTTTGCACTTTAAGGTATTAAAAGTTTTGGTTACCTATGCAGCATGCTTTATACCAGTAGTGTCATTGGAAGCGATGGAAATGCCGCTTTCCTTGTATTTTCTAAAAAATAAATACATATTGCGCGATTATTTTCATATTTTAACATATTTTGGATTAATTAAAATTAATATTTTATTATAACTGCATTATGTATCTTATTACAAATTTCTTTATACATGTGAGAAAAACGATAAGATTGCTATTGTATATTCGAATATAAATTCATATATGCGTATTCCCAATGGAAGCTCTGTATTGTCGAATATGGGACAGCTTCCAGGACAAAAATATTTGAACAGTGTAAAGCAACCAGATTTTAGGCATTTGCACATGCACTTTACAAAGCACCAACCTCAGACGGTTTAGCTGGTGGAAGCTACACATCAAAACGCTTCCAATGATTCTATCCAGGACTGGTTCTAGGCCAGGCATGGCCAACATACGGCTCGCGGGCCAGATCTGGCCCATCTAATGAATTTATGTGACCCGCAATTAATCTTTCAATATTAACTACCCAAGTCTGAATAGCTCGATGAAAAATTCTGATGCCTAAAAGAGAAAAAAAGAAAAAAAAAAAGGTCAATAACTCACTGTGCATTTAGAGTTAACTCTCCATTACAAATCTCTTAAGTACAGTGTAGAATATTAATAAAGCATGATAATGTGAAAAATATATCTGTAATCTCTATGTACAATTTAGTCTCTATGGGGTGATACCACAATGAGATCTCGTACCACCTTAAAATCTTCCTAGGGTAGCCTCTGGTTCAGCTGTGAAAAAAGTTTTCTTTCCAATTCGGCCCAGGGGCCACCCCTGTTCTAGGCTGTTAGCTGCCTGCCTGCTAGATATTTGGCCACTCTTGCCCCATTATTTGAATTGTGAGTAGATTTATAACTTAACTCAACTGATAGGAGTTTACTGGTATGCTTTTATGATATTCTGTATAGTTGACAGGAGTTTAAAAAAAAATCCATTAAAATATTTGATATATTTATTCTGCTCTCCCATCTTGTATTACTTACAAATTTCAATATTAAACTAGTGATATTACGATTTAGTATGTTCCATCTATAAGGGGATGCAGAAAAAAACATGTACAATTCTTGTACAATGTTAAAAAATTAACTGTTACTTTGGCAGCTTCATTTACAACTAAATTTAATGAATGAGATGCACAAGGTACAAAAAAATGCTCTAGAATTTATTTTCCTTAAATTAACAATTTATGTATCTGTTGTCATAAAAATTTGTCTTTTCACTTCTTTCCCAAGACTGCAAATATTCAAGTACAAAGTAACAGGTTTCAACTTATTTTTACTTAACAAGTAGTTAAATAATTAAGAGATTATGGAATTAGGGACTTAAATAAAACCCTGCTGAAAGAGCCGGAATTTTACTTAAAAGCTTAACTGAACCAATCCCTAGCCAAGTGCAGTGGGGACTGATTTCTTTGTAATATTAAATGTAATAAAGACAGAAATTTTTCCAGTTCAATGAGAATGACTGAAAAGTTGTAAATTTTGGGAATTTCTGTGGACATCACCTGGTCATAAAACGAATTAGTTAGAAAACAAATGATGAACGATCTATTAACATTAGTAAATAATATAAAATAAATATTGAAAATTATAATGAGATAGTCACAGCTAATAGATATATATCTAAATTAATAGATGTTATATGTTTTTCATCAAAGCAAGAATTGGCATTTACAGAGTATAGGGAATCTATTGAATCTAATAACAGAGGTAATTATATTGAACTTGTTTATTTATTAAGTACATCAGATAATCTATTAAAAATATATTTAGAGAAGTCTATGGTTTTTACTAGCTTATCGAACAAACAAATACAAATGGATCCTAGAGAGACTAGACCATCACTGATGTGCAATTAACTGATTGCACATCAGTGCCTTGGAAGTCGGCTTCTTACAGAAACACAGCTTCCCTATCATCAAATGTCATGGCATGCCACTGCTTTTATACAGTTCTCAAAATATACAGGGTGTATCAGAATGATGTTTTAAAAATGGGTTCCTTATATCAAAACGTTCAAAATTTCATCCTCTACAATCCCCCAAATTTTTAAAACATCATTCTGATACACTCTGTGTATATATATACAGTAGATCCCCCTATAAGACGGTAGATACGTTCCGTTCTTTATGAATCAATTTTGTAGGAATCATAGTTTACGGACTACGGCTGTTTGAAAGGTTTTCTTTCATAAAATTAATCGATTCTAGACTAATTCGACTCAACATTTCCAAAATACGTATATTTTTTTTAAAATAATCCGTATAAACTACGTTATAAACAAAAAATTGTAGGATTACTTACCGAGTGTGTACCCTTTGACTACGCTCGTTGCTAAAGCTTGGTTTCGTCGCGGAACAGCGCATCAAATTGCGGCCGCGATTTCTGATATTATTTTTCTGCGAAAACTTCGTTGACCTTTGGAGACATCATTAATATAAATAATTTTTATGGCCGTTAAATAAGAAATGTTTCTTTCACAAGAAATGTATAAAATTACAGTACTAAACAGACGATAGGTCGCCTAACTCGCCGTAGCGTGACGCTAGACGGCGAAAAATATATATTTAATTATAATAAAGTTACAATAAATTAAGTTAATATATAATTATATATACAGTACCTAATTTATATATAATTAATATATAATTATATGTACAGTACCTAATTTATATATAATTTATATAATACTGTCCAGACGATAGAAATCTCTCCGTAGCGTGGCGCTACGGACGGCGGGTAAGTAGTTCGGCTGCCCGATGACGTTTTACGTATTATAGGAGTTATTTTTACCGTTGTTTACGGATAATGCCACAATTTTTATAGGAATCATAACTATAGGAAACGCTTTTATAGGGGGATCTACTGTATAGCAATGCCAAAATGTTCATAAATTTTTAAAAATTCTTTTGTTCATTACAAAAAGTTTTTAAAAACTTACCGTATATTCAAAGTTTTAATATAATTTAAAAATTTGTGTGTTTTATTATTTTTAATTGAAATTTTTAAAAAACATAATTTTTTTTTTTATAGATTTTGAAGAAAAACTGAAATTCTTTATCAATATCTTTCATCAATTTAGAAGATAATACTGATCAACCAAAAATTAGTATTTATTAAAATTTGTGATAATTTATAAATTGTTAGGAATAACATATTTTTATTATATTTATATAATTTATGTTTTGAATAAGTATTAATGATGAAAAATATTTGAAATATAAAATTATTCTTGAACTTGGTTTATCTAAAATAAATGGATCAAAATAAATGAATTATATAAAATTATTTGTTAAACAATTTATAATGAAAATATCGATTGATTTAAAATTATATATCCAGTAGCAAAAATTTTGACTTTATATATATGAGCTTAAAAAAGAGAAATTTTTAAATATATCTTGAGGTTTTGTAATTTTATTGTAGAAATAGTTATATATTGTGGTGAAACTAGAATAGAGATGAACATTCTACAATACTACAACTGAATAAGATTTATTTTAAATAAGTATTTAAAAGAGTTAGTCAAAGTGTTAACTAATGTAAACTTTACTATACATAATGAGATAAAATTAAATTTGCAATAGTTTGATTCATAAAAATTATTATTATTATATATATATACTTTCAGTTTTAATTAAGTAAAACTTTTTATATTTTAAAACTGTGATGCTCAAACTATTGCCCTGGGCCAAATCTGGCCCATAAACATATTTGACACATCACTTATAAATGATAGAAATAGGCCTACTTTTTGTATATATGGAATATACAAAATATTTGTGGCTTTCCTCCTTTGACTTATGTGCAATTTAGCCTGCCAATTAAAAAGTTTGGGCACCACTGTCTTAAAATATTGACATTGTAAATGGAATTTAATGGAAAACATAGTATGTATTTGTTACTATACTAGTAGTTAGATAACCATAATCTGTAAATTCATATATAATTATTTTGTAAGATGTTTGTTTAAATTTTATATATTCTTAACTGAATGCTAGTGTTAACTTTGTTTTTTTTTTTCAATCTATTTGTTAAATATACAGTAGATAAAAATAATTTTCTGTAAAGATTCAAATTTTAAATCTTAAATCTTTAAAATTAATATTTTAAAGATTTACCGAATGATGAAGACCGAAAGTACGGTCGAAAACGTTTGTTTACTATTAAATTGTTTACTACTGGACGTTTAAAGGTTTTGGAGTGTTAATTTATATGCTTTCCAGTATTCATGTAAGAAGATTTTAAGTTTAATATTTTATATTTAATCAAATTTATTGAAAATAAAATGCTTTGTTAATTTATTTTATTATACACATTTAATATTGAATAAATAATGTGGATATTGAGATCTAAATGAGTTTTCTTAAAAATTTAAAGTGACTAATTTAATTATCAAGTAACTAATTGATAATTAAATTAGAAAACTTTTTGATTTTGCTTACAATTTACATATCTAATATATAAAAATATAAGCATATTATGTAATCAAAAGTGCAATTTTATTATTTGAAATTTTGATTAAGAGTAATAGTAATTAATTATTATGATTTAGGACAATTTTACTGAATTTTAACCTTTCTTTTCACAATTATATTTGCATTTTCTTAATAATTAAAATAAATTAATGATACTTTAATTATTACATCAAAATTAAAGTTTCTTACTTAAATAATTACATTATAACTGATTATTACAAGTATAAATGGAATGACTCAAAGTTTTTTCTATACTTAAAATAAAAGGAAGAAAATAGCTTTTCAGAGTTTAATATGCCAAGTATCTGAAAGAGATAATATTAACTTATAATTTATTCCTGTTTAATTGATTTTTTATGCTGATATTTATATATAATAGATAAAAATATTTTATAAAATATATATTTGAATTTTGCAGTTAAGAAGGTAATAAACTTATAATGATTGAAGTTTTTTTATACTTGTATAATATCATTTTTTTTTTGTTATGTTGTTGTTGTTGTTATTATTATTATATCAACTATATTTAATTTTTTTCTGGAAGATATATTATCTCTTATCTATTTAATTTTTAGAGTAAATCAAGTTTTTAAATATACGGAGAAAAATATTTTGGCAAAATATTAATTAAGGTTGTGTAAAACTTTTAAATTTCTACCAGTATTAATCATAGTTATGTTATGTTATTTAAGAGTTCAAAAATTTCACATTTTATAACGTTTATTGTTATTAGAATGTTTTATGTAAATATTTTATATCAATATAAAAAATAAATTCTTTAATATATTATCATTATTTATAAAACAATAATCATTCCATAATTACAAATGCAACAATTTGTTTTTTATTTGTATCACACAAGTCTTTTTAAATAGCTTATTAATCTACTAAAAGATACTTCAATATGAAAGTCTAAAGAGTGTTAAGCTAATTGTTATTGATTTTAATTATTTTTATTAAATTACTATTTAAATTTATCATTCTTGAAATAAGTTTTATTATTTTTTTGGATATATGTACTTTTTTCTTTTTTAACTAAATTTATTATTTGAAAAAATGAAATAGAATTGATTCATAATATAAATTATATAAAATGTAACATTTAAAATTTGAAGGAATTAGATGTTTAATGTTTTTTCTTTTATTTTAAGAAATACTTAGAATTATGTAAAATCAAATTAATATAATGTATTCATTATTGCTTATAAGAAAAATTTAATACAGTAGCATTCCAATTATCCAAAATAATATGAAAATGATAGTACCTCAGATAATTAAAAACTCTGATAATATGGAATATTTGGAACAAAATGATTATATTTATATTTTGTTCATATTTTGTTTTTATTGTTATAAAATCAAAATTTTATGACTTATAATTAAAATTTCTGTAATCTTTTTTAAAATTCATATTGTCATGAGAAATAGTCAGAATAAGTTATTTTTAAAACTTCTAGAGCTTCTTTTGAGTATTGCACATCACTAAGCCAAGATTGATGTAACAAACTAGACTGTTATTACATTCTCTTGTCTTTATGGATAAAGTACACTTCCACAATTTATCTTTGATAATGCAAAGTCTCATTTAAACAGGTCTGGGTTAATTGGTATTCTACTGTATTGTTAATTGGTGTTTTATGTAAACTTATTGAATCTGTAAGCTAGAACTAATGTATAACATAGAAAATTCACACCTTTCTCATTTACCAGCAGTAACTGTTTAATAAACAGATGCTTTTGGTCACATTCAGGGGCCTGCATCATGTTAAGCTTGTATGAAATAATGACATTTCAAATTCGCTATAGACATTTGATTTTGCATAAGTTTAACTGGATGCAGGATCCTAAATGCAGCTGAAAACATTTATTATTAAACAATTACTACTGGAAACTGTGAGAAAGGTGTAAATTTTCCGTTATTCTATGTAAAAATATAAGTGAAAGGTAACATTTAATACAATCGACTCTTGATAACTTGAAGTGAAAGGGACAGAAAAATTTTTGAGTTATGAAAACTACTATTATTTTAGTGAGATTTTAAATATCATAATACAATTAATACAGTTAAACATAAATACAACAGTAAAACATAATACATTGTATTCTAAAATGTATGTTTTACTGTATTACAAATAATACAGTAAAACATAATACATTGTATTCTATTAATTTTTAGGTACATATAAACACAAAATAACAAAACATTGACACTATTAATGGAAAAAGTCTGTTAAATGAGTTTATTGTTGACAATTTATTGCTTCTTGCTCAACAATGTTTTTGATGCAGTTTAACACACAAAAAGCTTCTGATGTAGTTTCTTGAAAGATCCTTAAAAGATTCAGAGCTTTTCTGACTTCCAGGGAAGCAGAATAACTAGCCTTTATCACTTGTTTCTTGCACTTGGTTCTTTACTTCTGCAATGGTGTAGTATTCAGATAAGCATTTACAGACAGCTAGGTCATTGTCAATATTGAAAAAATCTTCAAATGACACTTTTTCCACCACTGATCCAATCTTCAGCCAACTTCCTCAATATAGTCTACAGATTCTGATGGAAATCCAATTTTTTCAGAGTTATAATTTGATACAATTTCTTTTAATCTTTTCCACCATTTCCACATTTCTCCTCTCTTATGCATTTTCACCACAGATTTTATTGAAAACTATTCTGTGCTGCCTCTTAAATTTATCCAATCATGCACTACTTGCTTTGAATCTGGTAAGTCTCAACAGTTATTTGATTTATCAATTGTTCTGCTTTTTCTCTAAGAAGTCTTTGACAAGAATACTATTCTTTGCAATATACAAACTACTTCGTCATGGACTTTTCAGCATGGATATTTACATTTATTATTGCCTTTCTATTCTGTTTGGAAAATTTTAATAAGCAACAGAATCAAAATCCTTTCCTTGTTTTTCAGATATATTGACAGAGTACTCAATGGAATGTCAAATTCTTTTGTAATTTCTGATTTTTTTATTTTTGCTTTATGATGGATAGCTTTTCTGTTATATGCAAAACTAATCTTTTCTTGTTTGCCAAATATTTCCCATTGAAGTTCTCTCAGGAGGCATTTTACTTTAAAGATCACCCATGTTTTGTATTGCCTTATCCCATCATCTACTCAACTCTTATTTCCCATTTCTATCTATTTTGGAATGAAAATAGATAGAAATTTACTGGTCACTATCAGCAAAGAAAATGTTAGCATGTGAATCAAACTTTACAATGAAATTTTTACATTGTGACCAGTAAATCAGGATAGGGTATATATATATGAACTTGTAAGATGTCAAATTGCAGTTGTGTTCGTTACATGTTTAAATTTTCAAAATCCAAAAATTTAAAACACAACAATTTTAAAATGCTAAAATAAGATTGGTCAATTTGTGTTTAAGATTTTGTTACTTTAGATGTAAAATATCATTAAAATGTTGAATGTTATGTTTTGCAACCAAAGACATAATTTTATACAATATCAATCATCAACTTTATGTTAATATCATACATCAATCTTGAAAGTGCAAAATAAAGCAAATAAAATTGGACAAAATTGATCTCAAAACTACTACAATTTATAGAAATACAGAATGCTTTGAGTCTATGGGAGTTAAGTCAAGATAAAAATAAAATTTGAATTAAGAAAGTTCAACTTATCGTGAGTCTACTGTAATATAATTTTCCAATTTTTCTTAAAAAGGCTGATTGGTATATTTAATAATAGTAGTTTCTATCAATGTATATAATCCATATTAATGTACAAATTTTGTGAAGAATTGAAATAACCAAGAGATTTATATATTTATTTTTTACATTCTAGTTTTATTGTTAAAATATTTTATTCGTTTTTGTTGTATGTATGTATATATATATTTATTTATTTAATTGTGTTTTTCTACTCAGTCAATTCAGTTTACTGAAAAAATCAACATGTGTTATTAAAAAATGTTTAATCTAGTTTTTAATTTTGGAATAATTATTATTTAAACATTAATAAAATTTATATAAATTCTCACACAATATTTCTTTGATTCTGTGATACTATTAATTGTAAGAGGTACTATCAATTTAAAATTGAATTGTGCAAAAGTTTTTTTAACCAACAGCTACAAATTTACCCACCAAATTGCCTACAACTTTTATTTTAATTGAAATACTAAAATAAATATATAAGATGCATTGGCTGGTAAAGCTACTTAAGTGGCTTTGTTAAAAGATGGTTTAGTGATTTCTGCTGTAAGTTATCCATTGCAACGATAGTTCAGAAAAGCTTGGAAGTACTGAAGGCAAAAACAGTTGGTTTGTAGCAGCCATCTCAGGATGGTAAGAATACAATAAGTGTATTTACAAATGCAGTAAGTATTTATGAAGATTTTTGACTTGTGAATACTTATGTCATGTAAGTAAACATTTGTAACCTGTAACTGCTTGACTAAAGCAGCTTTATCAGGCATTGTGCTTATAATGCTATGGGGTAAAAATAAACATATACAATTTCCAGGCACTTTTGAATGCATATGTTTTTTGTTTCAATGCTGCATTGTAACATCTGTTGTGTTATCAATATACATAAGTGAAGTTACAACAGGATGAATAGATATGAAGTTTTCCATGTGCAATAAAAAGTAAGCCATAACTTTGCAGTTGTTAGACTAAGTTTCTTTCATCATGAAATGTCAATGATATTTATTTTAGCAGCATTAATATATAAAAACATACAACTCCTAGAATACTCACCTAATTGAAAGTTTAGTGTTCATTTTCTCATGAACAACACAGAGTACAAAACTTTTTTCCAAACTATGTAAACAATGTATATGTATATTTATTATACCCATTAATCAGACAAATTAACTCAAATGTTTTTTGTTACAAATGAATAT